TGAGCGTCAAGTTATCGTACTTTTCAAAGAAGATCAGTCGACGTCGGGATTGACGAAATGTGCAGAAATTCTTCCTGAATTTTTCAGTCACATCAGTTGTCACCAGTTTTCAACGGTTGTCTCACATATTTCTGAATTACCGCTTTTTTTTTATTTACTGGGAACCTTGTAGTATGAATATGGTATGGCATTTTCATTCTAGACACAACTCAGTTATTTTACTTAAAACGACTTTATTACCGTCAAAAATAAAGCCAAGCAAAAGTTTATAAAGATGCTTTGGGAGATATAATCATATATGAAGCAGTGGTCGATTTATACACTTACAAATATAGATAAAATAAGTAACGTGAGTTTTGAACCGTGTCGATTTATATTTTAATATTCAAAGCAACGCCATAGATGTTTAAAGGTGTTAATGAAAAGATATATTTTATCTTCTTTTCTTCTTTTCTGTTAGTTTCCTTTCTTTTCTTTTTTTGTTGGTCGATTTTAAAATGATCATAGAAAAATTAGATTAAAGGAAGAAAAGAAAACACACACAAAAATGAATGCAATAAAAAATATACATGAAGGAAATAAATAGAATCCCTCATCATCAGTTATAATTAACCAGCACGCATGCGTGCCGATTGTCTCCATATCAGACGTGGACATATGTCAGAGAGGCGGCAAAGTATTATGCTATTCTTTATTGAATTTTATTTATTTTTGTTGCTGATGTTATTTTTTTAATTTTTTTATTTATTTATTTTTTTTTGCGGTGGCGGGGTGTGATGCTCGTAAAATGAACAACGATGTGGGTATCGTGATATTGTAGTAAATCTGGTGCAGTTTCAGAGGAATGAAGGCACCACAAAGAAATTCAGGGAGGAAGAGAAAGAAGAAATATTGATACGAAGACATATGGTAACGAAGAAGAAGAAGAAGCAAAAGAAGAAGAAGAAGAAGAAGAAGAAGAAGAAGAAGAAAAAGGAGAAGAAGAACGGTGAAAACAGGATATAAGAGAAAGAACGGTATCATAAACAAAAGGAAGAAGTAGAAATCAAAAAGAATTTTTAAAAATTAAAATGATTATTTACATTATTTACAGATGGGCTGATATCCTCATCATTGTTATTATCATAATATTCCAGCCGTTGTAACTGCCGGGCTTTCTTCTGTTGCCTGTCAGTTCGGGTAAACAGAAAACTTTATTTAAGTTAAAGGAATATACATTGTTCCCGTTGCGCTGTCTACGTTCATCTTGTTCATTTTTAGTCATTGCTTGACTTGTTTCCCTCGTGTCGGTACCACTAGACTTGAGTTTGAACTCAAAATTACTATGTCCTCAAATTCGCAACGTTGAGCCTGGTCAGTATCTAGAAAGGATACTGCTTGGGAATACCAAATACTGTAAGCTTAGATGTGCAGGTGGTATATTGGTTAAGAGCTTAGAATTGGATGTCGGAGCGCCGAGTTCCAATCTCAGTCGGGTTGGTTTGTTATATTCAATTACACATAAATACCTTTGGGAAAGGTATAAATCCATCTTTTCCCCCACCAGCTATGAGTTAATTAATAGGACTTGTAGCAGTAAAGCAATATTATCTCAAAAAGAAAATTCTCACAATCTAAAACATATTTTCTGTCTTTAAATAACCCGCAAAGGATTGATAAGCCGTAAAAACAAACCAATCAAACAGTCAAATTCGCAAGCCAATCCTCCAATTTCCAGACAATAAATTAGGCCGAATCAGAAAATCTGTGATAATAAAAATGGAAACGCTCCGATAGTAAAAACGGCTCATAACATTAATCTGATTATAATAATAATAATTACTTCTACCAGAAATTCCGTCCTGGGTATGACGATAAACTACATCCGCGACCTGGGTAAGACGATAAACTGCGTCCGGCGGCGAGGCCTCTGGTCAGGAGCTTTTGAGGAGCGTGGAACCATATCTTGGTTGCTGATGTTCCTGGGTCCACCCTGTCCCGGGGTGGTGATAGCTATGTGCCGGTAGTTGACCCCCAGGCTGGGGTCAAAACACTATGTAGGTGTAAAGATAGGTTTTAATACCAGAAATACTTTGTTAAAAATATATATATATATTACCAGCAATACATTTTTGAAAAACAAATATATGAAGAATGTAACGGCTAATCCTAAATTTGGACAGGTCAAGATTTTAGTGATCGGGGAAACATTCACTTGGGAGTCGGTTCTACGATGCAGTGGTTCATAGTAAGGAATAGTGGAAGTTATATCTCACTAGTGGTATACAAAGGGAATAATGGTGATTCGCTACAATGTGTGTAACATGGTTGGTCTTGGCTGTGAAGGTGGAACTAAGGAATTTTCGGCCTTGTGCCACATCTAAGCTACGCTTAGAAAATCATTTAGTGTATAAATCCCTCTCTTGAGAGGTTTGTAACACATTATTTATCATCTCTCAGTTGCGTCTTTGTTTTTGGGCAGAGTGCACTCAGGGGCGACTCCGTCAAAGGACAGAGTCGCGACTGAGAAAAATTATACTGAGAGCTGTCCAGTCCTGGGGAACAGCTGCCCGAGGCTGCGCCCTCTCATTGCACCAGAGAGAGAAATCGGTGATCGCACTGAGGCCAGCGCAACCGACGGTTGCGGGGGCTGCGGGTAATCTTTGTTTCTGACCCCGTTGTACGCGGGTAAATTTTGTTTCTGACCCGGGTGTACACCTTAAAAAAAGACCTTGTGACACAACTCGTCTCGGGAGACAGAGTAAATACCTACTGTTAACGAAACTTTGACAGCACTCAATCACTAAGAGATGCTAGAATGCAGCTTAATGACAACGCTCCTAATAAACAGAAAATAAAGAAGTTGATATTTCACGAAGTAATTACCAGTAGCCGTTCTATTACGAACCTCATTGGTCGTTTTCATAATGAATTTTCCATAGAAAATGTTTAGGGAATGATGCCAAGAGATGCTAACATTCCATTTTTGAGGAGAAGATACGGATGCACGTGAAAAGATCCCTCAACATTCTTCTTTTTTTCTTGCTCTTCTTTGCACTGTATCCCGTCAGGATGTGGACGATCAAGGCGCTCCACAACTTCCTATCCTTTGCAGCTTGAGAAAACGGTAAAGGTAAAAACATTACTAAATATTGGTCTTTTTTTATTATCACTCCCAGTCCCCGTTTTGCCAACCATTCGCGTAAGCTCGTTAGGTAGAGGACTCTCTTCCCCCTACCCTCTCTCGTGAGTGTCAAATTTTCATAGCTCTCTTTCTTCGTTATGCGCTCTTTTTGATTCTGAGTACAAGCGCCTTTTTTGTTTTCTTTTTCTTTAAGATTTCTTTGTTTTTTCTATGCTCCGTTGATGATATTCTCAGCACACCCTCTAGAAAGACATTTCTGTTGCTTCCAGTTATGGCTTCATCTGTGAGGAAATTCTCCCGTATTCACTGCCATATTACATAGCAGTTCAGCACTCTTTTCCTTGTTTCTAACGAAATGTTCCTGTTTTTTAATAATGGAAGGCATCATTCGCTATTCCAGTGCGAGCTTCATTTGGTTTGCTCTCAGTATAACTCCGGGATCATTCTAACATACTTTCAATCTAGATTCAGTTTTCCTAGAAGTTAAAATTTCTCTCTAATTTGGGAACCACGGTAACAAAGTATAGTATTCAGTTGGTTGGTTGGGTTTTATGGCATATAAACCACTGTAGGTCATATTAAATATATAGTACTATTAAACGTATAACTGGCAACATTACTCCTTCAGAAACGTATAGCTGGCAACATTACTCCTTCAGAAACGTATAGCTGGCAACATTACTCCTTCAGAAACATATAGCTGGCAACATTACTCCTTCAGAAACGTATAGCTGGCAACATTACTCCTTCAGAAACGTATAGCTGGCAACATTATTTTTTCAAAAACGTATAGCTGGCAACATTATTTCTCCGAAAACATTATCTGAGGACTTGCTGTTGGACGCAGCTTATCGTCATTCCCAGGACGCAGATGTAGTCTTTCGCCATACCCAGGACGTTATAGTATTCAGGTTTTGGAGGTAAAAGATGCAATCACAAAGTAATATTTAACAAAAGATTATAGAAATTAAAATGTAATGAATTTTATCCTGATTTTTATCGTTACTGGATATCAATGTTTTCTTGATTTTATTATTTATTTAAATGAACTAAAATGAAGAATAACTGTAAAAATTTACAACCATATAATTAGAAATAATATAATTTTTTTATATAAAAATATGAACCAATTAACAAATTTCACTGAAAAATTTTAAAATTTAATTTTAACGTTGAATAATCCCCTTTAAAGGGATTTCTCTTTAAAGACGCTATTCAACTTTGCTTGATCATCGGCAACACTCTGTGGCCTAGAGGTCTAAAGCGCGTCACATTTAATGACGCTTTATACTAGGGGAACGCGGTTTCGAAATTTGCTGGAGAGCGCATGCTGTTTCTTTAATAAGGCCGGCAAACGAAAAGAAGAAATATATTGTTTAATAAATAAACGAAGCGTCTACTCAAATACGATTATCCAGTAAAAATAACGTTTAAGTAATCAAATCTGTCGGATTAATAAATAAAAAATATATCCCTTTAGAAATATATACTAAATTTATTTTCCAACATTCAGACGCGTTTTGAAAATTCACGCGGTTATGGCTTACATTTCTGTCGAGATTTACAAACTCTACGTTTCGTTCAATTTCGTAAACCAATCGATGAAATTTAATGTATAGCTATTTTAAAGGGTGTGACCGACGGAATTTTATATATAGATATTTGTATGCATATATATATATATATATATATATGTTATATTATTATATTATATATAGATATATATTATGTATTTATTATATTATTGTTAGATTATATTATATATTTATAGTTAATTTATAGCAGATATTCCTATATTCATTTTGTTTCCAGAGTCAACATTACAGATATTTTTGTACTTCTCTACTTTTCCATGAGACCACCCGCACATCCAAGCCGGCATTCGCAAGAAATCACCCATGCAGGTACTGATCAGTCTCGACGTTGCTTAACTTCGGTGATCGTACGGGATCCGGAGTTTTAACGTGATGTGTCCTTAAGCTGAAACTGACTGAAAAGCAAGAAGCCGGAACAAATTTTTAACAAGGGAGAATTTCTAAAATCTTCCTTCCTAAAATAGCCTATTTCATTTTTTTTTTAAATCCCTCCATATGTTATCTTTTCACAATGTTCCTACAGCTCTTTGTTTCTAGATATTTGCATAAATGAAAATGTAGAATCATCTGAGTCAGCAACCGTGCACAAATTATTAACATATGCGCATAATTACTGGACGCGCAGAAACCAACACAGTTCATCAAACATCAGTAATCACATTGACACACGCGCAGCATGTACATATGCAACAGTGTGTGTATATATATATATATATATATATATATATATATATATATATATATATATATATATATATATAGGAGTTAGTGTGTGTGTGTCCATAAGCACAGGTACATATGTGCGTTTTCAATTGTTTTACGCTGCCCGTCAAGTTCGAATCTGTGAAGGCCACGCAATCTTCACATTTAGTTTGATCCGCACTAACAGATCTGATGAAATGAACAGGGCTGAGGTGTCATGCCCAGTGGGACGGAACAAGTTCACCATCTGTTGAATATTGTACCACGGAGTTGTAGTTTACACACGGACACACACGCATATATATATATATATATATATATATATATATATATATATATATATATATATATATATATATATATATATGTCTATGCAAGATGCTATTCTAAAGAAGTGGGTACATAAAGGTTAGCGAAAAGGCTGTAAATGAAAGAAGCTGTGGCTGGAGCGTGTTAATGAGAAAAGAAAAGATATATCCGGGACAAATGACTGTTTCTAACTTTTGTCACTTCTCTAGCCCTCTTAAATATGAACAGGTGGCGGCTAAATATACCGGAATATGAGCGGAAATGGAACTTACTGATGACAATGGAAATTATTATGATAGGGACTGAAGCAAACTACGTTGCTGATATCTTTAGAGGTGATGATCGATTTAATCAGAACGATCAAGATGATTATATTGAAACTGATAGTTTAGAGTTAAAGATAGCATTTTTTTTTAATTGGTATCACCCCATAAAAGGCAGTGAAGTCACTAAGACACAAAGGGTCACTGAGTGTGGAAGAATTAGAAACAGAGACATTAATAATGAGCGGGAAGAGAAAAGAGTAGTTAGCGATTGACATTGCGTTTAAATTTTTGTAGATTAAAGTTGACCGGAAAGCGTAGAGCTAGAAGGGCGTTCCACAAGAGAGAAGTGCGAGAAAAGAAACTCTTAGCATATAACTTACAGCCACATCGAGCCAGCTCAACTTTAAATTGATGAGATCTTGAGACCAGAATAATAATAATAATAATAATAATAATAATAATAATAAGGATTATAAGGATAGTCGTATTCTTTTATGTGCCACGTCTCTTCATGGTGTAGGCGATCATGGCCCTCCACATCTTCCTGACCCTTGTAGTTTTTATCTTTTTGTTATTTCTCCCAAACTCTGTTCTACCATCCATTTATTCAAGCGCACTAAGTACGATACACACTGCATTCCTTTGTCTCTATTTCCTTCAATCTTGTGGGTACCAAATTTTCTAAGTCCCCTTTTCTTCGTTACGTGTCCCAGAAATTTCAACTGGTCCTGATGTTAAGTATAAGTTTCCTTTTTGTTTCCTTTTTCTCCACAACCTCATCGTTGCACATATGTTCGGTTCATGGTATGTTCAGCATTTTTCTGTGGAACCACTATTTCTGTTGCTTCAATTCTCTTCTTCATCTTTGAGGAGATTGTACAGCATCCGCTGCCATACAGGAAAACAGATATCACGTAACATTTCAGTACTTTCTTCTTCGTTTCTAACGAAATTTTTCTATCTCTTAATACTTTGCTTAGCTTTTGGAAAACATCTTTGGCCATCTCAATTCGTCTTCAGATCTCAGCGTCGTATTTTCCCTCCTCTGTTAGAATATTTCCTAGATATTGAAATTTTTGTACTTGTTTGATATTAGTATTCCCGGTTTGTAATTTACATTTTGGGCTCATGCTTTTTGCTGTTAACGATACATTCTGTGTTCTTTTAGTTTATATTTAGTCCTTTCTTCTTGCTTTCTTTTGCTACTTTCTGATAGGACTTCTAATTCTCTCAAAATTGCATCGCTGTATAGATTGAATTAATCCGGTGTGGAAACACATCCTTGTCTTACGCCTCTTTAATGTTACTTATGACAATGTGAAAGAAAATTGTTATTCAGATAAGTTCTTTTGCTTGGCGCTTCTTTTTCTTAATTGATATTTTCTGTTGATGTCATCCTTATGTCACGTGAGTATCAAATTCTACAAGTCCTCTCCTTCATTATGTCTCCCACAAATTTCATCAGTCTCTTTCTGTTTCTAAGTATGAGCGATTTTTTTGTTTCCATCCACGTGAAAATTTCCTTCCTCATTGCTCACATGTTCCGTTTGTGTTATTCTGTTACCTCAGTTATCCTCTTTATCTCCCTGCATCTGCGTATACGATGTGGTGCTGAAAATTATCGGTTCGATCAACTTTCCAAATTGTGATCAAATAACGGAATGCTAGATCTTCTTTGGAAGGTCTTAGTCAAGCTGGGAGCTTTTCAGTATCATCGCGTATATATCTACTATCTATATTTCTCATGTTGTCTGTCTGTGTGTCTGTCGTGGGAATTGTTACCTCGCCCAGGCCGCATTTCTCACCCGATTTCGATGCGGTTTTCACCACAAGTTTGCAAATGGCTTCCTTAAGGATATGACGGAGCCCGATTTTTCAGTTCGGACTCAGGTTCGGAAAAAATCGATAATCGAAAAAATCTGCTTACAGAAGGAATTATTGCATTTCAACCAAATTTGACACCCTCTTAGAGTCTACCTTTAGAAGTGTTGTCCAGAAGTTTCATGACCACGGACCCCTAAACAGCGCGGAAAATCGATAAAACCCCAAAACAGATACGCCCAGATTACACCTGAACCGCATGTCGGTTTTTAGCGAAAACCGATCGGATTTATGAGGAGGCCATTGAGAGTCACCATGTGAAGTTTCAACTCTGAGCGCCCCCAAACAGAGTGCAAATGGACAATCAGTCAACCCTTAAAAATGTTTTTTCCGGTTGGCTATTTCCTAAATGCAGATTAATTTAAGGTCACGCTATGCGCGGGAAGAAACAGGTTAGTGCGTGCAGTGCTGTATGAGTCGTACGATTTTGAATCAAGCACGGCAACGCCGGGCCATACTTATAGTATATATATATATATATATATATATATATATACACACACACACACACACACACACACACATATATATATATATATATATATATATATATATATATATATATGATATTTATTCCTTTGATCACAAGCAACTACTGACAGCATCTCCTCTCATTGAGCCACGCTATGTAAACCTTCGGTTTAAAGAGTGGAGTCAATAACAGACTGGGGGATATTCGATATATTACCTAGAACTGAAATAGGAGAGCCTACAATAAATGTAAAAAAAAAACACCCCCAAATCTTCTTTTGTAATGTCAAGCCGTGATAATGAAACGATGTTCGTTCCTAAAGCTATGTTGACCACAATGTCAGAGGCGAATATTTATAGTATGGCAGGATAGGTTAAATTTTCAAGCTAATATGTTTTGTGTGATGACGGATGCCAGGTGAACGGCAGTCTAGCAAAATGGTGTGATATGAAAATGTATAACTAAGTTACCTCCACATAAAAAAATTGCCCCCACGATCATTCATCGATATTTACTGAACGTTTACGGGGACCAAATGATGGATGTAAACACAGTTGGGTGATGAGTATACCGACTCGAGGAAGTATACAAATCATTGCGGTCGATTCAAAACGTGTCAGACTATGATAGTTACTGGAGTTCAGTTGTCTTAACGTATCAGATACACGTATAGCCACTTACATTTCATCTTCCTAAATTCTTGGTATTTACCAAGACGATCCGTGTTCGGTAAGGTTGAAAATAGTAAAGAAACGGCAATAATGTTAATGGCAATATTATATAAACATTTAGAATTTGGGTGAAATGTGTAAAAATCTTGTTCAATTTTGCAAAAAAATATATTTCTTAAGTCCAGTAACAATTATAGCTCTTTCCAGTATTGATGCGATCTTTTTTACTTACTTATGTTTGAAGTCGTATAGAACGACAATGATGCCATTATTTTATCAACGAATTACATAGTAGACTAGTTACGTAGACTAGTTGCTAATCAAAGATATAGAGCGCAGTTTTTCCTGCTATTTAACCGCTAGAAGTGAAGAATTCATAACTTTCCCAAGGGTATTTATGCATAGTAAAGTAACAAACTCGACTGGAATTCGAACTCAGCTTCCCATTTCTCTTTTCGAGCGGATATCTATTACACCTCAACGCACATCCAAGTTTTCTCTCTCTCTCTCTCTCTCTCTCTCTCTCTATATATATATATATATATATATATAGCCCGCTTACCTTAAATGTCTCCTTATCAGCAAACCATTGAAAAATTAGCAATTTTGGCTTCAGAAATAGTCTTCCCAATTAGCATTATATATATATATATATATATATATATATATATATATATATAGCATGGATATATATTGGGGCGTAATGGATAACGGCTCAAAATTAGAAATATATGAGAAATATATATATATATATATATATATATATATATATATATATATATATATATATATATATATATATATATTCGGGGAATGTCTGTCACAAACAATGTACTGTCTGCAATGATCTTGTTTTTCTTTGCCTTTACGAAAGGCATAAGAAAATCTAAATAAAATGTAGAACCGTGAAAAATGGCAAGTATTTTTCTGAAGCTCTTAAAAATTAGGAATAACTGATTTCCTTCAATGATAAATTAAGATAACTGAAACATTTCCGAAATTGTTGAAATGCATGGTAGAATTTTTGTGAATTTTACTTATAGTATTAGTAATAATATGAAAACTAGT